TTAAAATGAAGCCCTCCAAGTTCAGGTTTTGTGGCTTAGACAGCAGCTCCATCTGGTGCTTACTGAAGGTGTCTGCTCAGTTCATCTCTTGGTTTTATGGCAACATAAATACAGATGTACACAGAACTTATAAAGGAATGGCAACTCCAGGATATATTTATTTTGTACACAGTACTGACATAGGCTAATTGTGCTTTTAGTGACTCTGATTTGGTAATTCTGTAAATAATGTGATGGTTGCTTTTCAGTTCAACAACTATCCTTTGACTTAATTTATACTCAAAGTGGGTAATTATTTTTCATACTTACTAATCTTGGGAAAAAGAAAATATATTAGACTACTTACAAAGAAAATATGTAATCCCTTATTGGGGTAGGTTAGCTTAGCTAACAAGATATTAGGCCAGGATGCCTTATTCTTTCATATTCAATGCTGTATAATGCCAAGTACCCAAGGCATGTTAAAATAAATTATTGATGTGTGATAGGAAATACCTCAAACTGTTAATAGAAATTACTTCTGAATAATAGAATTACATAAAATTTCTGTTTCTCCTTATGCTTTTCTGAATTTCTCCTGGAATTCAATACCAAGCAAAGGGGGAAAAAACTAACAAAAAAAATAATTTTAAATAGAGCATATTATAGGGCTGGCAGGATGGCTTAGCAGATAAAGTTATTTGACACTGAGCCCAATGACTTTGAGTTAGATCCCTGTAATCCACGTGGTAGAAGGAAAGAACCAACTTCTGCACATTGTCCTCTGACCTCCATAGGTATACACACACACACACACACACACACACACACACACACTAAACAGTAAAAACAAAGCATATTATAGATAGTGTAGCTTAAATCTTCATTCTGGTCTCTCATGCATTGTGTGAACTTAGGAAAGTCATCTTCTCTTCTGGGCTTCACATCCCCTGCTCTGAAAGGCAAAAGGATTGAACAAGGGACTTTTTTCAGTTTTAGTATTCTTTTATAAAAATATATATTTTTTATTTCTTTTTATTTTATGTGCATGAGTGTGTTGCCTACATGTATATAAGTGCACTCATGTAGTACAATGCCCATAGAGATCAGAAGAGGGCCTGCTTTGGATTCCCTGGAACCGGAGTTACCAACTGAGCCACCTCGCCAGTCCTCGGTTTTAGTATTCTAAAATTGGAATTACCCTCCCTTTTTCCTATCTTTTCAGCCTCTCCCATTTCCCTGTGCCCCCTGCCCTATCACCCATAATATCATTTTATAAGGTCCCCGATGAGTGTATGCTGCAAATCCAATGGGGCATGTAAGTTGTTGTTTTCCAACCTTTAAGCAACATTTGAAATATTTGTCTTCTCCCTCTGGCTTCTAATCATTACCTTGAATGTTACTTTTATTGGCTTTTTTCAAGGGAGAAGGGGTGGTTATGGTCTTCTCCCTGGTTCACCTGCCGAGGCTACCTCCCCAGTGCATTCTCTGTCATTCTTTATTTTCTTTTTAGCCTAGGAGAGATCTTTCTCCTAGTAATATTCACAGAATTCTCTTCTGTGTTCTAGACTCCTAAAGTCACTGCCCACGTTGTTAAATGCAGGCTCACAAAGTATGGACTGATAATCTTCCCCCTAAAAGTTATACCTCCTCCAGTGTAAGTATCACAGTAAACAGCCCAGGCATCATTGGAATACATAAATCCCAAACCCCATTATCTCTTCATTTTCTTCCAAGACCAGCTATTCTTTCATCTGCTTTTCTCTGCCTTTCATGATGTGATGCCACACCTTAGCAAAGATTTTCATCTGATCTCAGCAGCCCTTTAGACAGTCTTCCTGCCTCTTGTTCTTACATTTTCTGTCCAACCCAAACTGCCTCTGAAATTCATGACCTCCTGTTCTTTAATTATTACTACTTTATATATGCATATATATAACACACACATATAAAACTTACTTAGTCCAGTTAGTGTTGCTCATGTTTTTATGCAATTCTTACCATCATTCACAGTGTTCAAATCTCAGGCTAGGAGAATATGGTTTTATCTACTAAAGGATATAATTTTTTAGAATATGTGAAAGAGCAAATAAATTTTATGAAATAATTGAAGAATATATGTTAACTTTCCTGGATTGCTAGCCTCTCTGTTTGGACTTCTTTGGTCCCTTAAGTCATCTCCTGGCTCAGCGGTTAAGAACACTGGTTGTTCTTGCAGAAGACCCAGGTT